CATCGTAGGAAGCCTCCCCAATGACAAAACACAGACGGACAAATGCTCTCTCCCTTGACGAGTGTTGTGTCTGCTGAAACGTAGCTCAGGCCCCTTCCAAAACCAGAGAGCCCCCTGCTGCTCAGCGACACAATTATTTCATGGAAGGGCCTTGTAAGAACTCAAGTGTGTGTGCTACATGAAACAAAACTGGCTTTCAGGCAGTGGTGGGATTCGGAAGACGAGACTGCCAGTCGCCAGATAGCATGGAAAGGGAGCTCTGGATGGACGGCGCTGGGTGCAGAAGGGACAGGCACTGTGCATGCTTCTCCTACCCAGCTTATAGGACCCCCCTTCCCCGCCCCGCTTTCCCTCAGCTTTCCCAGTCGTGTGTTCTGGTGCCAGCAGTGTGTGGCGCTTCCTGCCCTAGTGATTGGGAGCCACCAGATCCCTGCTGTTTTAGCCTCTAACAGGGACCGCTCACTCTACTGCAGTTCTGGGGCGGGGCACAGGCATGAACTAGGACGAGGCTAAAGAGTCTTCCATTTGGGACGTATGGACACTTTCGTTGCAGTCATTGCTAGGGAGGTAAGAGACTACGTGACTATCCGATAAGCAGAAGCTTATCGAATAGTCGGCTCGTGCTGTGAGCAGTCACTTCCCCCCCAACTTGCTGCCTCTATCACAGAGAGGCAGCAAGCGGGGAAGCAGGAGCCGGTGCTGGGGGAGCTGGCTTAAAAGCCGATTCCTCCCAGCACCATCTCCGCAGGGGGCAGGGGAGGTAGAGTCAGAGCGGAAATGGTGCGAAGCAGTCTCACTTGTGCCAGTTCTGCTGCGATTCTGAGACCTGGCCCCGTGCTCCCTGCGGGCTCTCCTTTCCCTGCAGGGCTCTTATACACTTCAAAGGCTGAGGTGCCACAGGGAGCGCGGGGCCAGAGGGGTCCCCCACTGGTCCCACGCTCCCTGAAGGGCTCTTGATACAGTTCAAAGGCAGAGGTGCCCTTGTAGACTGATCGAATAGTCGATGGAAATCCCATCGACTATTCAATTAGTTAATTAATCTAAATTTAACATCCCTAGTCATTGCCACAGAGGCCAACTGTGCTGCCACAGAATGACAGGGCCTAGGGATGTAAAATCCCATTAAAATGATTAACTGGTTAAACATATTGCTTAACTCATTAACCAATTAAAAGAGGGGGCAGCCTGGCCAGAGCAGCCCCTGTCTGTGGCGGGTAGGGGGAACTGCCCCCGCTGGTTAACCCTAACCAGTTAGACATTCACATCCCGACGAAGGACCGACTCAGCTGCAGGTGCCGAAGTGGAACCCCGAAGTGGTCCACAGACAGAGCCTGCTAAAGAACAACAGGAGCTCTCTGCAACCAAATGTCCCCTGCTGAAATGCCAAAGGGAGCGTGACCCGAGCACCGAGCTGCCTTAAAGAGGAAGGTTTTCAGAGTTCTCCGGGCAGCTTCAGCTGCTCTGTAAGACTAAGCCACAAGGCCGGGGTCCCGGTTCACAAACAAAAGCGTGCTGTGGCCCTCAAACTGCCGCCCAGGGCATCTCCGCACAGTTCCACAGTAACACAACTCACACTAGTGACACCAGCCACCTCCACTTGCCCTGCATTTGGCTGCTCAACCACTGACCTCTCACATCAGTTTTAGCCCAAATCCTCCTAAGCTACGTCTAGACTGCACATCAAGCACATCGAAATTGCTAATGAAGCAGGGATTTAAATGTCCCGTGCCTCATTAGCATAAACATGGCTGCTGCTATTTTTCAAAACGGAGTTTTTTTGAAAAAAACGGCAGTCTAGATGCAGATCTGTCGAAAATAAACCCTTTTTCAAAAGAGCCTTTATTCCTCAAAAAATGCGGTTTACAGGATCTGTCAAAAAAGGCTTTATTTTCGACAGATCTGCATCTAGTCTGCCATTTTTTTCCCAAAAAACCTCAGTTTTGAAAAAAAGCGGCAGCCATGCTTATGCTAATGAGGTGCGGATATTTCAATCCCTGCTTCGTTAGCAATTTCGATGTGCCTAATCTACATCTCTCTGTCGACAGAGAGGTGAAGTCTAGACACACCCCTAGGCTACGTCTACACTGGCATGATTTTCCGAAAATGCTTTTAACGGAAAAGTCTTCCATTAAAAGCATTTTCGGAAAAGAGCGTCTAGATTGGCAGGATGCTTTTCTGCAAAAGCACTTTTTGCAGAAAAGCGTCCGTGGCCAATCTAGACGCGCTTTTCCGCAAAAAAGCCCCGATCGCCATTTTCGCAATCAGAGCTTTTTTGTGGAAAAGAAATCTCTGCTGTCTACACTGGCCCTTTTGCGCAAAAGTTTTTCGGAAAAAGACTTTTGCCTGAACGGGAGCAGCATAGTTCTTCCGCAAAAGCACTGACAATCTTACATGAGATCATCAGTGCTTTTGCGGAAATTCAAGCGGCCAGTGTAGACAGCTGGCAAGTTTTTCCACAAAAGCAGATGATTTTGCGGAAAATCTTGCCAGTCTAGACACAGCCCTACTGTCCACACACAAGATCCCCAGAGCCAAGGGAGCTTACGCGCTCGGCTGGTGGTATAACTTAGGGCCCGGGTAGGGCAGGCTGAGACCTGTCTACTTGGCCACAGAGCTTCAGCAGAGCTTCAGTTTTGACAGACCTCCAATGCCATCCCACAATTCCCCAGGCCTGTACTTTCCCACCCTTCTACGTACTCACTTCCCAATCACCTCCTCAGCTTCCTGTTGGTTTCTATACACAGTGTCGAGGCTGCTCTAGACTTACAAGCAAGAGACCAAGGGTTTGTGGGGTAGAAAGAGAGAGACAGAGAGACAGGCTGTTTGGGGAATATCTGTCAATTACAACAATTTCTCAACCTGCTGCTGATAGGTCCTCCAGGAGATGCAGGATGCAAATATTCCAGGCCTAGCCCGATGATTCACTTCTACTTGCCTGGCTACTTCCATGGTATTAACTGGCGCTAATCAGAAAAAAGAGATTCACTGAAGTTTTTACTTCTTCTCCTCATTTCCCTAGGACCCTTATGGTTAATTACGTGAGGGTCAATCAGAGGAGTCAATTGCAGTGATTTCCATGCAACTTTCTTGCATGACAAAGGACACTAGAACAAACATTAACAGAACTGTCCCACGGAAGCGGACTCTCTAGCACTCCTAGGTGTTGCCAACGCCTGAGATGTTATTTCAAGTCTGCCTGTAAAGACTCCGTTCCCGGAGTCATGTGATTAGACAAGACTCTCCCTTCGGTAACAAAAGCTAAGAGTTTAGATCTCATGGTTGCAGAGAAAAGCTGGACAATGTGAGTGATAGAAGGCTCAAAACCTGAAGGCAAATAAGAAAATCCTTCAAATATATTTTAAGAATTCTTAACTTGGGGTCAGGGGGCAGGGCAAACACCTGGTTTTTGAATGCCTGAGGCACCAATATGGTTTCGCTGATTTTTTTAAAAAAGGGGGAGGTTTGGCCTTATTTGCAATTTACCACAATTTTAGAGGTGGAGGGGGTTCAACCCTTGTGAATTAATATGGTTCATTATTCCCCCTCACTGAAATCAAACACGGACTGGAGTTTTGCCGTGGATTCCAGATGAGAGCAAGCTTCGGCTGCCGGGGCTTTAAATTCCCACAATGCGATGTCTTTTTGTGCACGCAGAGTGACTCCAGCCTATATTTAGCGATTGCATATGGTGAGGTTCAACACAGTGTACTCCACACTAGGTGCACATTTGTTACATCGCCGGCTAGGACGTCTCCCATGCACACAGCAGCCACTGCAACAGCCACTCAGAGAGGGAACAGGGGATTTCAGTGGGACTTGGAGTCAACAGCTGGTATATTCTCAGCCTTTCCGCAGTCTCGTCTGCTGCAGAAAGTGCCACAGAACAAGAATTCTGTGAAACGAAGATTCAAATGGGCAGTCGGGCCTCCCACGCAGCCAGGAGTTTTAACAAACAAAAATATCAATCGCCGTCTTCTATACTTTAAACATGATTTATAAGGGAAGAGATCAAGGCACACTGGAATGGATCCAAGTCAAAAGTCTTACTGGTTATTCCAGTAACACACCTTGCTCAGAGACAATTGGTTTTCCACAGGAAAAAGCAAGAGATGCAGAATAAGCCAAAAAAGGGAAAATGGGCACAGTTAAGCATAAATAAATAACAATCAGAAGCATCAGCTTTTTGTCCTCCGCCCCTCAATCCCCTCCTCTTTCTTATGGACCACATTAGGGGTACGGTAAATGATCACTTTGTGATTCAGTGGCCTTTGAAGTTTAGGGCTGAATTTTTTAAAGCTGAGGGCCTAAAGTTAGGCTTCTAAATGTACTAGCAAGCTCCTAAATAGAAGAGACCTGATTTAATAAAGGGGTTATGCATGCTCCAATACCTGCTCAGCACCTCAGTAAGCCAAAAGTCTAAGACCTGACCTGTCTGCCTTGCAACAGGATGCAGTTGAAGATAGATTTTCCCACCCTTCTACCTACTCACTTCCCTATGTTTGTTTTAAAACAAACAAAAGGAAGTTTTTCTTCACTCAGCGCACAGTCAAGCTGTGGAACTCCTTGCCAGATGATGTGGTGAATGCTAGGACTTTAACAGGGTTCAAAAAAGAGCTAGATAGATTTATGGAGGTTAGGTCCATCAATGCCTATGAGCCAGGATGGGTAGGAATGGTGTCCCTAGCCTCTGTTTGTCTGGAAGTGGGTGACAGGGGAGGGATCACGTGAGGATTACCTGTTGGGATCCCTCTCTCTGGGACATCGGGTACTGGCCACTGTTGGCAGACCGGGTACTGGGCTGGATGGACCTTTGGTCTGACCCAGTATGGCCGTTCTTATGCGGGAATCTAAATGTGTGTTTAGGAGCCTACCTTTAAGCCCATAGCTCTGGAAATATAGATCTTTATTGTTCTGAACATGTTTAACGTACAACAAGGGACGAGAGATAAAAATGAAAAGTTGACTCTGTTTTGGGTGGAGCAAAACAAAAAGTTTTTCACCTTCTTGACGTCTGACTTTTGGCCGAGTTTCCCAGATGGCGGCAGAGTGGCGACTGTAAAATTGTTTGGATCTTCACAGTCACGGATTTTGGATTCCTTTATCAGCGAGTCAAGTTTCTTCTTTGCGATATTCTCTACTCGCTTCCGATTGGTGGAAGCCTACCAATGAAAGATAGTCATTCAATGAGGGCACAATGATGTGAAATCTTCATTACGTCAATGGGAGAGGACACAAACTACAAGGGGGGGGGGCAAAATAAGATGAGGCAAAAGAAATGGACAGAGGCTTTGCTCTAACAGACGACTGTTAACTACCACTCCACATGCTAATAGCCCAGCCAGCCACCTTTCAGTTTGTACACTGAAATACAGTACCATTGTGAGTTATCTGCAACAATAAGAGTGCCCAGTGTGTGCTTCACAGCAGATATGTAGGCATGTGAAGCCCTCAACTGGAAATTTAGTGACAACATATAAATAAAAATCCTGAAGCCACAATGCAATGGAAGTCAAACATTTTGCAAAAGAAATAAATGAACACATCAATAAAAAGAGAATAACTTCTAGATGAATGGAACCCAGACCCGCTTGTCAACAAGGCTGCTACCAAACCCTTGATGTGCGACCTGGAAACAGCTGGTATTGAGGTGAGTCAGTGCCGGCTCTATTTTTCAGTGTCTGTTCACAAAAACAGTCTGGTCTGTTTCACGATAGCGACTGCACTTCGCCATTCTCGAGGCGGTTCAAGTTTTGTGCACCCCAAACAGCTGAATAGAACACGGCATTTATTGCACATTGAATCTGAGGGAATTTAAAGAGCTCAAAACCATCAGCTGTTTGCTAGGTAAGAGCTTGTGGTGGCAGGATTCAATTGGAATGGGAGCAGCTGGAGAATGAGGACTTCTACGGTGAAAAGGCAGCATTTATTGCATGTTCCCGATCCCTTCTTCCATGCAGGCTGTTGAACAACTGGGGTGAAGAGGGGTGTGAGGGGAAAGAGATGGAAACACAGCTCTCTTTGCTAGCTACACCGTTTACATGGAGCGATTCACAACTTCAGATCTTTGGAAGGTTTAAAAAAAAACCCTGCACAGATTGTGTTTGCTTAACGGGCCTTAGAATGTCCTGATTAATTCCATCAGGAAACAAGCTGTCATTTCCCATGCTTTCCAAAGCCTCCCTCTAAAGCGAGCCAGGTCTAGCAAATCTGGAATCCCAGATGTCGGTACAAGTCAGACTAAAACAAATTGTTAGTTAATGAAGACAAAGATGTAAGCAAGGCAGCGCCTACAGGGCTTTTATGAAAAGTAATGTGCCCAGCTATGAGATGTAGCAAGGAAAACAGGCTTGCTTTATAAGGAAGGATGACTCTGTTACTAGCCTCCATCTCTCTCTGCTTGTTTAAGGGAGGAAAACTAATTTTGTCATCTTCCTTTTAAAGAGAAGCTCATGCGAGAGCGGTGTCAAAGAGGGCTTGAGAGAAGCTATCAATGGGAGAGCCACAGAAGTTTGCTTTTGACCAAGCATCCAGGAACATGTTCCCCTAACAAATGAGGCTAGAAATCCTGCAAGAAGTGACTCTTGAAAAAACTTCCCGGTTCCAGCAGGGATGAAGAAACAGCTCCCCTGTCGATATGTGGCACTACCTGGGTGAGTCCGGGAGTGAAGATAAAGGTATGTGGGAAAACATGAGGGAGAACAGCAAGAAGCTGCATGAACCTGGCTTATGGCAGTAGAAAGGTTCAGTTCTGTTTGGGCTGAAGCTTGCAGATGTGGAGTGCTCCATTGGTCCTTCTTTTATCCAATTTGTCCGTCTCGAGCTGCTCCGAACACACAACCATAAAGGCAGGGGGGCCAGATTGTAGTTCTTGTGAATGTAGGACTCGTAGTACAATTTGGTTTGTCCTTCACCTCAATACCCTCAAGCAATTTTTTTCTTCCCTGCTCCACACGTTCATTCTTTGGTAACAGGATTGATCCCACATAGCGTAAAGCCCGACAGGCTAACCTCTACTACTACCCTGGGTGCACAGTACCTTCCACTTGGAATGAACGTAATGCCAGGCAGAGAGAGAGAGAGAGAGAAACCATAGGAGCAAAGTGTCAAAACATTGCAGATCTCAAAATTAAAGGGGGGAAATGAAGAGTGTTACAGTAGAAACAGAACCCAACAAAATTATTTTTTCTCCTTAAGGTGAATTTCCAGGTTCTTTCCCCCTTTCAGGCTAGCACAGCTCGAAGGAGAGAATGAAAACAAAAACAATTGCGCCCGTAATAGGAGAGGAGGCAATAGTCTACAGGACAAAAATAAAGGACTGCAAATGTGACACGCGTCTAAGGCAATCATGTATAATGTTATTAAAGATTTCGGCTGTCCCTTTTATATTAAGTTTCCATAAGCTGCAATGCCATACACACTGCATGCGAGAAGATTAAGTGTCAGAAGAATTTTGCTTCTAAAAAGGGACGGGGATGAATAAGGTGCTCTCAGGCTGAAGTAAGCAGAAATGAATAACTTCTTTTCCTTTTACCTCTTTTACACAGTGAAAGCCAACTAAGCACAGCATTCAGCATGTCAAAAAGTGCTTAATAAAAGGCCCACAGAGCTGGGAAAAATATTCTCCAGAGAAGGCTCAGATTGAGATGGGATGGGAAGCACTGAAACGGGCTCATATTTATGAACCCCACCAAGGTACCAAGACGACATTTTTATTTTAAACACATACAAAGGAAAGTTAGAAAAAAGCAATTGGACTCTGGTTCACACTTTCGTTTCTCATTGATTAAGTCACTGCAGTTTTTTTTTACAACCTATTCTCTGAGTCTCAAGTTTAAGAATTACAAAGAAAGTATATATATAGAGAGAGACACACACACATAGGTACAGCTCTCCCCCCTCCACAGGGCATCTTTGTTACATTTATTCTATACACCCCAACGTGTGTGATGTATATTCATGGATCGATTTTGAGAAGTTCTCAGACTTGTAGCTCTTAAAAGACTTGAATGAGAGATTAAGTTGGCAGCATTTCTGAAAATCCAATCATAAACAGGCACTATATGTCTTTCTCACTCTCCCATGCACACACAGCCCCGGTCTACACTAGCGAGTTATTTCGAAATAACCCATAATAAGCAAAGTGTCCACACAACTAAGCCCATTATTTCGAAATAAGGGGCTGTTTTTTTCTAAATCTGTACTCCTGCTTTCTTCGGGAAACAGTGCTATTTCAATTTTTTTATTTTGGGAGTTATTTCAAATTTAGTTATTTCAAAATAATTTCCTGGTGTAGACACGCCCCCAGAGACCCTGCACCCGTGGGCCTGATTTGCAGAAGAACTGAGCATCTCCAGCTCCAGATGCAGGTGGCTGGAGCGGTCAGTGCTCAGCACCTCTGCAAAGAAGAAAGGAAAATAAACTAGGTCCCTCTCTCTCTGGAACATTTATTACGATAATTGGTCAGAACCGTTTTGATCAAATAAAATGTCACCCGAATGGGCAGTTCTGTCAAAGCCAAACCAATGGGTTTGGACGCAGACTGTGTCCCAATGTTTTTGACAAAACGTGAGACTCTCTTAACTCTACAGCATGGGTGAGCCAGGTTCATGCCCCTGCTCTGCCTGAATCAGTCATGTGGGATGAACAACTCTGCTCTGAGTCAGGCAGAGCCGAGCTCTGAGCTGGGGTCACCCACATGCCGGGCCAGAGTCCTTCCTAGGAGACCACCCCCATCTAAGTGCCTCTGCCTGAATTGGAAACCTCAGGGTTTGATTCCAAGACAGACATTTAGACCGTTCCATTTTGGTGAAAAATGTTTGAAAACTTCGTTTTCCCCTCTCCAAATCCCAGTGCAGATTTATCCAACTTTGAAGCCTTGAAAGTTGCTGTGAAACAGATTCACCATCCTCAGGCCAGTTCAATTTCACACCTCCCCCCACTTACAGAAAAGTCTGAGAACCCGATGAGCCTGAACCTACTGTCCTCCCACCCCAGTGGAACAGGTCAATGTACATTTGTACCCGATTTACTTACATCTCCATTCATTAGCTTGCAGTCGTCGTCAATTTCATCAGCGCTGTCTTCATCAGACACTTCCCCTTCCTCTGCGTCATCACTAATGGTGGCTGGAAGCTTCTTGCCCTGGAAAACAAAAGGGTTAAGCGGACAGGTCAACATGCCGCTCTTGGTAGTATGAGAGGAAAGTGATCGTGTGTAACTGGAGACATGATATGGGCTGGGAGTCCAGACAGGTTTGTTGAGGTCTGCGGAGTCCATATATCATAGCTTCAATTAAGCTTAAGCTTGTTAAGTGACCCAGCTCAAGAACAAGCAAGGAGTCTCCTTTAGTCCATATTGGAGAGAAGAAAGCTTTCCACCTCCTCGGTCCTTTGGCTGCAATTCTTGCCTTGGCTAATCCCAAGGCAGACCGAACTGATGCAAGAAACAAAGGTAGGAAATGGCTAGGAGGAAATGTGTTGGGCAGGGCCAGATCTTTAGAAAAGTTGGTATCTGGGGCTACGTCTAGACTACAACCAGTACTTTCGAAAAAGCACAGTTTGCATTACATTGCACCTTTTTTCGAAAGAGCATTTTCGAAAAAAGGCGTTCTTCCTCGTAAAACGAGGTTTTCCGTTGTCGAAAAAACTGCCGTGTTCTTTCAATTTACTTTTGAAAGACTGTGGCAGCAGTCTAGACACAGAGGAAGTTTTTCCGAAAAAAGGCCACTTTTTTCAGAAAAAATCCCCCACCCCTGTAGTCTAGACACACCCTAAATGACTTGGCTGGATGTTTGGGGCATGTTCCGTTCCAGCCACGCCAGCCGTTCTCAATGGGAGCTCATGCAGGATGAGCAATTCTGACCGGCTGGCCATGGAATCTCAGACCAAAAAGGGTCGGTGATGAGCTTAGGCAAGCTGGTAACCCCACCACCTTCGACTGGGGATGGCACACGAATGAATAATAATGGGAGAAAGAAGCTAGGCTTTTCCAAGCCATGGCCACTCAAGGAGAGACTCTGTCCCCACCTAAGAAAAAGGTACGGCACATCGATCCTGCCTGACCAAAGGTGATACCTTCCCAAAGGTCCATCTAGCTCAGTGTCCAGTCTACTGACAGTGGCCAATGCCAGATGCCCCAGACAGAGTGAACAGAACAGATAATCGAGTGATCCCTCTCCTGTCGCCCATTTCCAGCCTCTGACAATCAGAGGCTGAGGACACCATCCCTGCCCATCCTGGCTAATAAGTATTGATGGACCTCTTTTTGAACCCTGTTAAAGTCCTGGTCATCACAATATCCTCTGGCAAGGAGTTCCACAGGTTGACTGTGCGCTGCGGGAATAAAAACTTCCTTTTGTTTGTTTTAAACCTGCTACCTATTAATTTAATTTGGTGACTGCCTAGTTCTTATGTTATGGGAACAAGTAAATAACTTTTCTTTATTCATTTTCTCCATACCTGTCATGATTTTATAGACCTCTATCATATCCCCCTTATTCTCCTCTTTTCTAAGCTGAAAAGTCCCAGTCTTTTTAATCTCTCTTCATAGGACACCCATTCCAAACCCCACCAAACACTGGTGGCTACTGGCCCTCACAGAGTAGGAACTCTAAATGTCATAGTATCTTTCAATGTGCGCACCAACGCACAGAGCAAAGAGTGGCAACGGGGAATGAGCACTTCAGGCGGTGACCTGGGCTTGGGGCTTTCTCAAGAAGGGGCACGGTCATGGAACCTTTCAGAGCTTCCTGGACTAAGAGCCATCACTGCTACTGGATTTAATGGGAGCTAAAATCACCTCAGACACTGATCGCCCTTTGCAATAGCTAAAACGGTAGCAAAAGGAAGAATAGGAGCTGGTGATGTTATTTAAACAGACGAGTCTCCAGCTGTCCTGTCCATTCCGTCTATACAGGAAAGAGATTTCATTTCATTCAAAAGGGCAGTCCCGGTATTTGCCAGCACAAGCAGGTGCAATGAATCCATTTAATCGGTACAGCCCTTGCAGCAAATATTCCCATCGCCCGAACCAGCGTCCCTGCATTTCTGATGCCACCAGAACATGGCTAAAGTAATTCACATTGAAATGGCGGCTATGCAAACAGCTAACATCAGTAGTGGTGTGATGATTCCCGAAGACTGAATCAGAGGTGGGCAAGCAGTGTTCATTTCTGGCGCAGATGAGGATTTGAGGCCATTGTGTCAGTTCAGGGCAGTCCATCCCCTGCTGAGAACCATTGTTCTCCTGAGATTCCTTACCCCTTTCTGTCACCGGGTGGGTGAGAAATGTCACAAGGAAAGCGTCTTTGGGCAGTTCCACTTTGGGATGAAACCTGAATGGAGGAGGATGTGAAGAATTCAGGGGATCAAGAAATAGAGCCCTCGATAACTTATTCTAGGGTTTTTTCAACCCTTGAAGGCTAGCGCGAGTTTCAAACAGTCTCTTAATTGCTGTAAGCCAGGTGGCCATCCGAACTCAGAAAGTAGCTGACTGGAGCCTAGCTCACAGCTCATCCCACGCCCAAGGTCCTCACCATAATGCACACACCAGCGTGTCTCTCCTTTTGATCCGGTATTATATTAATCCTGATCTACTTTTAAAAGTTAGACTGATCTGTATGTCACTCAGGGCTCTGAAAAATGTCACACCCTGAGCACTGGGGTAGGTTGACATGACCACTTGTGTAGACTCAGTGAGGTGATGAAAGGATTCTTCCGTTGTCCTAGCACCCTCTCCTACAGGCAGGCCATCTCCATTCATGGGCAAATCCCTTCCAGAGACGTAGGAAGTGTCTACACTAATGCTGCTGTAACATACCGTTCACCCCATTTTATTCTGGTTCAAGTCCATCTCTGAAAACATCCTTGACATGTTGCCCTTTTGATAGATTAGCCTTGACTAAGTAAAAGCAGCTGAAAGTTATCTCTTCTTAGCTGGTGCCTGGCTGGTGACAAGGTTTGAAGTACTTGTACTAAGAATCTAATGGATGCTGGTACCTTGAGATTCATCTGCTGTGTCTGACAGAGATGTGCACGCCCTGTAAGCCACAAAGGAAACCCAGACCCAGGCAGGCTTAAAAGAAAAAGAAAAACCCGTCTTTGAACCACAGAACCAGTCCAGGTAACTCAGGTGTAGCAGAGGGCACAAACAAGCAGTTATAAAGTGATTTGGATTCCCAAGATAAAAGAGGTGCTCAAAACCCTTTAGTATCCCAGACTGGAGAGTGGGGAAAGGCTGGCAGAGTGGAGTGGGGAAGGCTGTGTGGCTGCATTGATATTTAAATCTCCCACAAACAGAAGTGATCTGGCTTCTAGGGGTAGGTCTACACTATGTGGGCAGGCTGATTTAAGGCTATGCAACTGGAGTTACGTTACTAGAGTAACTCAAATCTACATAGCTTAGATCGACTTACTGCACAGACCACACCATGCTGGGTCGACAGAAAAAAACCCCTCCCCCATCAACTCCCCTTACTCTTCTCATTCTGGTGGAGGACCCAAGTGGACCCTAAGAATAGTTGATTTCAGCAAAGGTGCAAGGGGTTTATAACCCAAAAGAGCTCCAAGCCATGGAAGACGAGGGCTAGAGAGCAAAATACAAGCAGGTCTTTTACCTTTACTAATATCTTTCCTTTAAGATTTTCGGGGGAAGGGAGTTTGGTGGGATCCTCATTGTGCACAGAAGACAGGTCCAGCTTGTCCCCTAGGATTTCAGTAAGATATTGAGCCATCTTCTTCTGCTGGAGGACACTGCAGTGGTTCTCAATGGACAGAACAACAGGATACCTGGAAAAGAAACAACCAGAGAAGATCATCTGCCTAGCCAGCTTCTGACAGAGCTAATTGAGAAAGAACCATTTGATCCAACCAATTCGGCGGTTCAGTCTGACCGGGGACAGTTGTGGACACTCTCCTGGGATGGGCTCAGGTAGTATGGGCACGGGAGGGTGTCCTGTTACAGATGCAAATTGCAATTGCAACCTCTTGGTTTCCATGTCTGGACATGATGCTTGCCTACTTGCTTCTCACAGAGAGGCCCTGTGGAGACTGGTCCTGGACTTGAGAAAATAAACACGCTGTAGAAAGAGACACTTATCGGTCCCTCCATTCGAGATTTTCATCACCAATCTACAGACGCGCTTACAAAGCAAAGTCAGCATTATTATCCTGTTCGGGGAAACTGAGGCAGGGAGTGGTGAAGTGACATGCCCAGGCTTTTCTGAGCGCCCGGCCAGCACCCTTGTCACTTGCTCACACTGCTAGTCATCATATTGTGGTGAAAAATTGGTTTTACAGTAAAACTCCGATGGTCTGGCACTCCTGATGGTCCGGCACCATCAGGAACCTGGAAGTGCTCCGGGCAGCCGGACCATTGGAGCTGCTCTGCCCCCAGCTTCCCCGATTCAGCTGCTGCTAAAACTGACCAGCGATGAATCCGGGAAGCAGGGGGCAGAACAGCTGGAGTGCTGCCGGGTAGGTCCAGTAGCACTGCCCCTCGGGGCTGCGGGACCAACCCGGCAGCACCCCAGCTGTCCCAGATTCAGCCGCTGCTGAAATTGACCAGCGGCTGACTCCAGGAAGCCAGAGGCAGAGCTGCTCTGCCCCGGGCTTCCTGGAATCAGCCCCTGATCAGTATCAGCAGCGGCTGGCTTGGGGGCACCTTGGGGCG